CAAACACACACACACACACTGATGTCCTAAGTCTTTTTTTTTTTAATTTCCAACGTTCGCTGTCGGTGAAATCTATACACCAAAAAAAAACCCCTCGCTGCGGTGTTCCTGCGGGTAACCAACCCTCCCAACTGCAACAAAAAGAAGTGGCAACGCAAACATCGTAAGGGAGAGAGAGAGAGTATATGTGATTGCTTGCGGAACAGCCTCAATCGACGGCATCGTCATTTTCATTTCCTCTACCCCCTCTCATCTTCAGCCTTGCTTCTCATGCTGTTGCCTTCCTTCCCCTTTTCCTGCTCCTTGCCTGCATCCCTGGAACGGACTACCTTGCCACAAGGGACGCAACCCACCTCGCGGTGTCTGCGACCGTGTCCTCCAGCAAGTTATCCAGAGCATGCCCGAGCACCAACTGCGTTAGTCCCGCACGGCGTTGGTTAACAGCAATAACATTTTGACCACTGCTACTGCTTTTGATTGCACTGATGCCACTAGGGTGCCGCGGCGGCACCGTTGACGCGACATCGTCGTCACGCCGCTCAAAAAGATTCCCACACAGCCTCGCCTCCTTGTACACGTCCTCGTTGAGCGTGCCCTTGCGAGCGAGTTCCACATAGTGATGCACCAGGAAGCGTAAATCGCTCGGATGCAGGCCCGCAAAAAAGCGCCGCGGGGTGACGGCGGCGACGGAGCGGGCCGAGATCTCCTCCGGCGTGAGGTATGCCTCTGCGTGCCACATATACTCATCCACGCGCCGTAGTTTTTGTTTCGACGCAAAGACGACAAAATCGGCGGCAGTGCGCTCAGCCAGCGCCCACAGCCCAGCGCGCCACTCTTCAGTCACTTCACCCGGGCGAGACACGGGGGCGGAGACGGCCTCAAGCAGGCCACGCCGAAGTACTGCCTCTAGCGTGGGGTATGATAAATCCCCAGCGTCACACAGCTCCTCGACAACTGCACCAGCCCGCTCCACCAAGTACATCGTGGCAGCCTCCGTCATAGCGGCATTGCTGTCTCCACCACTCCTGGCGCCAGGCGCGGAGCAAGGCCGAGCCTCACCCGCAAGGGTGGGATGCAACAACATGCCGGCCGCGTCGCCAAGGGGCGGCTGTGTACGGGTGGAATCCGCATCCACAGCGGCAACGGAGACAGCGCTTTGAATACCACCCTTCGCCCCCACCGGTTTTGCGTCAACCAGCACAGGACAAAACACCCCCACCGTTGTTTCTACAGCCTCACCACGCAGCAAGCTCTCCGCAGCAGCAGTAACCCCCGACCCCACTATAGATAACTGGGAAACATCCTTGACCACTTCGCCCAAACACGCACCTCCATCACTCCCATGACCCTCAACCTCACCTCCACCGGGGCTCTTAACATCAATAAAATCATCGGTGGAAGTAAGGCCACCGCCATCACTGCTACTCCCAAATGCAGATTCAGCAAGCCACTCAAGAAGCAATAACTCACAAAAACATAAAATACGCTTTCTCAAAGAAGACAAATCATCCTCCCTTATGGTCAAAAGGGAATTCACCTCCAAACTGCTTACTGTGGAAACACTTTGCGGACCACCATTGTCCGCAACAAAATCATCATTCGACATCACCCCACACACTTCATCCCTAACATCCTCAACCGGGTTCAGTAACTTCATCTCCTCTGCTCTGCGTTTGGTCTCTTCCTCCTCGACCCTGCGTCTGGCCGCTTCCTCCTCGGCCCTGCGCTTGGCCTCTTCCTCCTCGGCCCTGCGTTTGGCCTCTTCCTCCTCGGCCAGATTACTCTGCTCAATATGGAAAACATCAACGGCACCCAAAACACAATCGGACAGGAACTTATTGGTAAAGTCATGGATGCAGTCAGCAATTAAACCCTTCGCACTCTCCTGCTCGCGACTCTTAG